GAGGAACTTATTGAACAGTACTTTTTTTCCTAATAAAATTCCATGAATTCTTTGTTTACCCTGAATAACTCCAATGTTTAAGACTATTCCTCAAGGATTTCCAAAACTATTACAACATACCCCCTAGAGAATTCCATTGATCTTTGCTCACTTCCTTAACCAAAGGGGAGTGCTGATATCAGTTAGCGCAATAGTCCATTACAAACTGGGATTTAAAAATTGCAATACAGAATTTGCACATTCTCTTGGTAGTCACTTAGTATAGTGAAATGGCATAAGATTGGAATAACAGGTAATGTTGTCAAAGAAGAGGGGTCCCGGCCAACGCTGGCAAAAATAAATAAGAATAAATAATAATAATTAAGTATTATAATCTATTGTATGGGCCTTGTGACCTCTGAATAGGAATTCTCTTAACAATCTCTTATCCTGCAACAACAGCTTCATGTCTTTTTAAACAAAAGAAAAAACGTTGAAACTGGAGGCACCTTTCATCTATGTGACGTGAACATAGATCACAGGGCAGTAGAACTGCAAACTACCAAGCAACGTTTTAAAACTCACCTTAATTCAACTCGAGGGAAGAGATAATTGTAGCCTCTGCACACATACTGTATATCAAAAGAGCTCATGATTTAATTGTTGACGTACCCCTCACGTACGAAGATCTATTCGGAAAAATCTTCGGCGATCGTATAACTCGGTCCCAGTCTCAGGATCGAGGAAGGGCCCTCTCGACTATCCCTTCAAGTGACTACCTTCGATCCGGGGCCATTCAAGGGATGTTACTCAGTAACATCCGCTGAAAGGACCTTCTTTATGCGCCAAGAGGCTCGCTCGATCGAGGCGAAACATCTTCTTGGTTTAATCAATCGAGGGATGAACGAAGAAGCAAGACAAGACCTCGAAACAATTATCAGATCATCAGACAAATCGGAGTGGACGATCGAAGCGAAGCTTACATGAGTCACTCGGGGAACCACGAGGCGAGCGTTGCGTCATACGTTTACGAAATCCGACCGAAGACAAGAGGGCCTTTCGACGGATGTTAACGAGTGCTGACGCTTTGGCCGCGAGGAAAAATGAGGCCTAGGGACTAGGCAACGTGCGCTCCTAGTTTCATCATATCGAGAAAATTTTTAGCCTCCCCGCAGACGTCCTTTGGGGTCACGCATTCATTTCTCCCCCGGGGAGAAATGAATACGTGACAAACGAACCCCAAAGGACGTCTGCGGGGAGGCTAGAAAATTTTCGCATACTAACAGTACGACGATACGATACTTTTTCTTTACGCGGGGGACGTTTTACCCTGCGAGCAGAGGCCCTTCGATCTTCCTAGATAAGTCGGGAAGAGGAAGATCGAAGGGCCTCTGCTCGCAGGGTAGGGACGTTTGGGTGTCTCCTCGGGTTCCGGCCCAACCCTGCGAGCGACTTCCCTCCGGGTAACTTGCGGGACCGAAGCCAATAGGCTAAAAGAGTTATTCTTAGGTCTAACAAATTGTTCCATTTTGTTTTGTTACACGCCGGCAAGACAATTGAATCCTCGAGTCTCCAGGTTTTTTTCGAGACATATTACATTCGGAAGACGAACCAAAGGAACAAAATACCGGTGAATACCGAAATGGTTGCGAAATGAAGCTTTTAATCGATGAGAAATCAACTGAATCGATACCAGACACCATTCGTCTCCTACTCCTGACGACAGTTGTGTACTAGTCCGGGCTTGTCTGATCACAGGTAACCCAGGCTCTGTGATAGTACCACAGTACGGGTCCAGTAAAATTACAGTGTTTGTATGGGGTAAAAATATCATCCTAAAATTTCTAGGAAATACTAAATAAAGATCAATGAAACTTACTCTGCAGTTAATTGTTGTTGTCCTTATTGCTCCAACGAAGTTTCGGGATAATTTGCAGTAATTTGTTCAAATTCACTCTATCTACAATAATAATATACAAGGTAGGAAACACGAGGTGCCATTTTCGCCGACATGCTCTCATTCAACACAACTTTTTCCACGAAATTCGAACTCCAACGGAAAATAGACATGCCAGGATCGTAGAAATAGGATAGCAGCAGATATAGAAACCAATGAAGCTTTCCCAGATAGAGAAACGAATCCCACAGACTTTGACAAACTCGAAGAATATAATCCAAACACACCGAGAATACGCTCGCCGAAGCAGCCGGGCCAGATCAACGCGCGGCCAAGAAAATGAAGCCTGGGCACTGTACAAAAAAATTCCATCCCGGGGGTCCTGGGGTGACCTTTCTAGGGACCGATACATCATTTGCCCAAGGCCACCCTCCCCTGCTGGAAAAATACTTGATAGAAGGCAATTGTTCTTCCTAGCCAATCACTATGGCCTGTTATAAAGAGATTATTTTCCTCTCGAACTATATTCAGCTCCTGGCGCTGGTCCTCAGAAAGTTTATCAAACATCAATAGGGCAAGGTTATAAGGGCAAAGGAAAGAACAACGAAGGACGATTTACAAAACTTAAAACGAGCAAAAGATATAAGTGAATTTTGGCTCTTACCGAGGCATTTGTACAACAGGATCAAATTCAAAGAGAGGTGTCTCACGATGATTCACATATTTAACCGATAGAGCGTTCACTTGTATTGACAAGAAGTCGGCGTGTTACTGCCGCATTAATCGCTAAATATGTTAATCGCGCTAGTTCTTTGTTTACTAGTGCACGTGCCTTTCACATTCGTCTCAGTTATCGCAATTCATATTCTGTCGCAATTTTCTGTATAATTTTTGACATTAGTTTGTAAGCTTCAACGTTTATTTACGATAGTTTCGCTCGAGAGTTCACAGCAACAGTATCTCAGTCATCATCTACCTTTTGTTCAACCTTGTTTTTAGCCCGCCTTGTAAGCATTTCGCGTTGTTATTTCATTAGTTTCATTACTGTTATTTGCATTCCTTAGTAAAAGAAATGGGACGCCTTGTAACTCCGCAGACTCTCCTGATTATATTACTTTTTTTTTTCTATTTAAATTCAGGCGCGTGTGCGGGAATTGCTCTGGCAAATGGTGATTGGCTAGGAAGAACAATTGCCTTCTATCAAGTATTTTTCCAGCAGGGGAGGGTGGCCTTGGGCAAATGATGTATCGGTCCCTAGAAAGGTCACCCCAGGACCCCCGGGATGGAATTTTTTTGTACAGTGCCCAGGCTTCATTTTCTTGGCCGCGCGTTGATCTGGCCCGGCTGCTTCGGCGAGCGTATTCTCGGTGTGTTTGGATTATATTCTTCGAGTTTGTCAAAGTCTGTGGGATTCGTTTCTCTATCTGGGAAAGCTTCATTGGTTTCTATATCTGCTGCTATCCTATTTCTACGATCCTGGCATGTCTATTTTCCGTTGGAGTTCGAATTTCGTGGAAAAAGTTGTGTTGAATGAGAGCATGTCGGCGAAAATGGCACCTCGTGTTTCCTACCTTGTATATTATTATTGTAGATAGAGTGAATTTGAACAAATTACTGCAAATTATCCCGAAACTTCGTTGGAGCAATAAGGACAACAACAATTAACTGCAGAATAAGTTTCATTGATCTTTATTTAGTATTTCCTAGAAATTTTAGGATGATATTTTTACCCCATACAAACACTGTAATTTTACTGGAACCGTACTGTGGTACTATCACAGAGCCTGGGTCACCTGTGGTCTGATCAGTCACTGGGAAAAATGGAGGATTTAAAACCGATTTGTGACGTTGAACAAAGTTCTTTCTGTGTGGAATTACTCAAGCGACTCAATTTGCAACGAGGTCAGAATTATTTGTGCGACATAACCTTGGTAGCGAGAGAGGGAAAAGAGTTCAAGGCCCATAAAAATGTTCTATCGGCGGCGAGTCCGTTCTTCGTGAAACTTCTTCAGAGCGAGATGAAAGAGAAAGAAGAAGGTGTTATTAGGTTCGAGGACATCTCAGAGTTGATTCTCGCGGATATTTTGGAGTTCATCTACACAGGAAGTGTCGAGATAAATGAAACGAACGCCACTGATCTGATTGTTGCTGCAGAATATTTACTCATTGAAGGTTTAAAAACCAAATCAGGGCGTTTTCTTGAGCAACAACAAATGACTAGCTCAAATTGTATTTCAACCCTTAACTTCGCGGAGAAGTATCGATGTGAAGAATTAGTTATGAACAGTACAAAGTTCATACTCGAAAACTTCGCCTCCGTGACAGAATCAGAGGAATTCTTAAACCTTAAAGCGGAAGAGGTTGAGACGTGGATTTCAAATGACGAGATTCGTTTAGCAGCTGAAGAAGACGTCCTCAAAATAATACTGAATTGGATCGAGCGCGACAAAAGCGAGCGAAAAGATAAGTTCAAAAAGCTTTTTGGACAAGTTCGACTAGGTTTACTATCGCGTGACTCTTTGCTAACTGTCGTTACACACGAGCTGGTTCGACAAGACCTTGATTGTTTGACGAAAGTATTGGACGCCATAGAAGTAGTTCGTACCGCAAGCGAGGATATCATTAATCAGTTACCAAGAAAAAGACTTGAGACACAAGCCATTGTAGTCGGCGGAGGGGAGTACCTTCTCTGTTACCTTCCACTGCTTCCAGAGAAAGACGCCTGGAAAATTATGTCCTATCTCACAAAGCCACAACAAAACCTAAGCCAATACACAAAGATGATAAACTATCATGATCAATTATACACCTTTAATGGCTTCAGCACTCAAAGATATGACCCTGTTTTTAACATTTGGGCGACTTTGGGGCTGGGTATTTCCCACCGTCCAGAATATCTGGATGATTGCGGAGGGCAACTCTATGCCATACACATTGATGATAGTGAAACTACCGGTAAAACATCCACTGTGAAAAAATTCGATGCGGAATCGTACTCATGGCTGTCTGTTCACTCTTCTGAATCGGGCTGCAGGTATGACTCTTGTATTGTTACAGCTTGTAACTGTCTTTATGTTTTAGGAGGAGAAGCAACGAGAAATTATTTACACCCAGAGTATGTTACAGTGGCTGAAAGATTCGACACTGTTGGGCATCAGTGGGAGAAAATTGCAGACATGCAACAGGAAAGAGGCGAGGCATTTGGTGTGGCTTTTCAAGGCAAAATTTTTGTCGCAGGAGGGAAAGACAAAAGCCGGAAGGAACTTAATAGTTGTGAGGTGTACAATATCACGACCGACGAGTGGCAGTTTATTGGAAGTTTGAATGTTCCCCGTTCACATGGAAGTATGGTGTGTGTGAATGGAACAATTTATGTGCTAGGTGGTTCACCGCCTAGATACGCTAATGCATACACAGTAGAAGTCTATGATCCAGTTGGGAACAAGTGGACCCAGACGACCACCATACCGGTTGAAAGAATGTCTGAAAAAGAAAGGCCATCATTTACAGGCTGTGCATTGAAACTCTCAAGAGGAGCGCTTGATAGAGTAAAGAGATCAAGTTCTTGGTTGTGGTAACAATTTTTCATTCAGTGAAACTATGGCCATACAAAGTCCCCTTTACTGAAAAATCCAAGAAATGTATACTATAACTGACAAACAAACATACAAATTGTATGCCCCCTTGAGGGAAAATGTGCACAAACAAACATCCTGTACCCAGCCACAGTAAAATCTGACACATGTACAGAATCTTATGTAAGACTTGCCTCAGCTTGTCTCCAACTTAAAAGAACGAAACCATGGATCATTCTTTTGACTCAATAACAGATGAAACGAAACCGGGCTATCTAAACACATATGGTCACTCTAGGTCGCCCACAAACCTTTTCAAGTAAAATGAAAAATGCCAGCCGTACAGTATCATATTAACAAGAAATGTAGCCTGTCTCTATGAACAGTTTGTAATTATCTACAGAAAATATCTGTGCATCCTAAATAAGCCCAATGAATTAGCAATTTCATATCCACACAGGAACAAATTTGTCGTCCGAAACTTTAAGAATTTGGTTTCACAACTACTACCTAGCAACAGCTTGTACCTTGTTTATAGCACGTTGAATTTTACCGGGCATTCACTGTAACTGCTGATGAGTGTGGTCATTTGTGACCATACGAGACAAGTGTAGCAACTGATAAAGCCATAGACTAACTCTGAAGTCTTGAACAATATTTCTTTTACAAGTTAAGGATTAAGTGCCTATTTATGTCAGCTCCAGTACTGACGACTTGAAAAGATACGCAGGGGCACTACACTGATCATAATACTCTGCATCAGGTCACCAACTAGAGTTTTATCATAGTGTGACCACATTTCTTTACCAGCCATGTTGACAATGGTATGAATTTTTCTTCAAATAATTATTCAAAAGTTGAATCTATTGCTAGTTGTAGATTTCAGATTGATCTCTGCATTCTTGTATGTGTAATGAGCCGTGAATTCACACGCGAGGCAGTTATGAAATTTCCACCAGCTCCATTTTTCTGAAATTGATGTAAATGTCTTCTAAGAAGCTTAATCCATCAAAGATTTCCAATCTGACCAAATACAGAGAAGTTCTCGTAAAATATTCAATGCTCATTACGCATGCAGAAATGCCACTTTGAATTTGACACCAGTTACGGGAACGGCTAACGGATTCATTTTTCAAATAATCAATTCACTGATAGAATCTTGGGGGGTACGCTTGACTTGGTTTGACTGTAAGATAGCTTGTTTGTTGGCTTCACACTAGAGCTCTCAAGTACAATTTAAGGGGCTGTTTACACTAAGGTGGGGGACCCCAGGTAGGTGAGGTAACGTGTGGAGGATCACCCCACCTATCATGTAAACTCGATCAAATTAAAATGAGAGATTGTAGGGACAGGCGGGTTACCCCACCTAAGTGGGTTACCTCACCTACCTGGGGTCACCCACCTTCATGTAACAGGCCCTAAGTGTACTTAGAACCTACTTTGAGCATGAAGGGGTAAAATTTACCTACTTCAACTTTACTTGGTGACCACAGAAACGTTCGTAGTTCAAAGAAGCCAAAGTTCATTGCCAAGTATGGACTACACCACACTTGTGAACACACTTGACCAATAGGACGTGGAAGCCATGTGCACGTGGAGCCGTTCCAAGATTCTAATGAACGGACAGAGAAACATTCAACATTTCTTGGTTAGCTAAGAGCGTTGCAGAAGAGGCCTAGCCCAAGCCCTTTGGCGATTTCTTTGCCAAAAAGAGCGTTGTTTAGCCATTCTAGTGAAATATGAAGAAGACTTCGCTTTTTTTTTTTGTCTTGTTCTTTCTTGTGCTCCTACTGTACTCTTAAAAACAAAGTGAACTACATCAGTGAGAGTGTTTGCTGTTGTTGTACTACATAATCACACTTGACAAGTAATTGTTTGTAACAGTAACGTGTAAAAATAATCACGTACACTAAAATAGAAATTGCATGTAGCAATGTCATTAAGGATGCAGTTGAGGAGAGTTATGACAGTGATCATGACTCATTATTATTGAATATGCAATGAATATGCAATGCATACCCTCATTAGCACTCAATTATCCCTGTAAAAAGTACCAAATCATTTATATAAGTGTTCATAGTTATTTGTGTACATGCATGGGAAACAAATACCCATGCAAGAGTGTATTTGTATGAAATGTCCACATATAAGTCCTGTTGAGGTGGTCATTTTTTCAATTCTCAACATGCATGAGCTTGTTGAGACATGGTTGCCAGAGGTATAGTTCTTTAAATTTCCAGACTGAGAGTCGACTGTACACTTTTCCCTGACCAACTGAATTGACAATTTGTCCAGATATTTTTGGTTTCCAAATTCCAGTCAAGACTTCGTGTACTGGACACAGAAGACGTTAAAAAAAGACTTCTTTGTTTTTTGTTCAGGTAAAATCTGCTTGGTATTGTTTCATGGGTTTTGTTCTGTTGTTTTATGTCATCTGCCAGTCCGGTACACAAAATTAATGCCCAAAGTCCTATCACAGCCATCCTCGGCCTCTCCACTTATTTATTAAATGAATTTATCGTGAAGGTAAAGTGGAGAATGGATTGATCTTACAGGAAGCCCTATATCTGTTTGTCGTTTAATTTCTTGAAACAATATTCTGCCAATGGAACATGTTTAACTTCGGTGAATATGCAGGAATATGTCACCTTCCCCTGACTTATTTGTAAGAGTTAAATTTTCCCTTACTTATACTGTAATTCCGTGAATTGTTAAATTGTCCCTTACGTTTTAGTCTACAGTCGAACTTCTCTAATACGAACACCGAAGGGACAGAGCGAAGNTATTCTGCCAATGGAACATGTTTAACTTCGGTGAATATGCAGGAATATGTCACCTTCCCCTGACTTATTTGTAAGAGTTAAATTTTCCCTTACTTATACTGTAATTCCGTGAATTGTTAAATTGTCCCTTACGTTTTAGTCTACAGTCGAACTTCTCTAATACGAACACCGAAGGGACAGAGCGAAGTGTCCGTATGAGAGAGGTGTTTGTATAAAAGAGGTCACTACGATCACGTCACTTTTATGACTTCACTTACAGTTTTAAGTGTATTTCCTGTCGTCGCTTCTCTTTCTCCGAAAAGGAGGAAATTAGAAACTAGAGCCGAAAAAAACCGGATGCTCTCGCAGGCTACACTGTGTCGGTCTTAATGGGGGACGCTGTCCAAAAGGATCGCAGCCCTCCTTCGACGAGAACAATTATCGAAACGACATTTCGTACGCGTACAAGTCATTTCGTTTTTCATTCCAAATGAAATTCTCTTTTTGCGACGGAATTTCATTCTAGTATCATGTTAACTGGAAACGAACTTTGTTCCGACTTGAAAATCGCAAGTCATGTTTATCGTCTGAAGTGAGTGGCGCGTGCGTGTCTGATCTGGCGCGAAAACCACGCGCCTTAGGCTGGGTCGTTCGATTCTATCATGTGAATACAGTGGACGCTCTCTTCGCCTCTCATTTTTCTCTTTCCCATAGTCCCTTGCGCTTCGTTAACAGTCACTGCGTGTCACTCGCGTTTCGCGCTCAACTCTGTGCGAAAAACGAAGCACCTGAGGAGGAGGCAGACTCTGGAATGAAACTCATTCCGGAATGAAAGTCAGTCCGGTATCATATAAACAGCCCCTTAGAGAGTCAACAAAAAGGAGTAAAGAAGGCATGTAGAGTTGACTGTAGATCAAAGAGGTTTTTTCTTCAATCCTCACAATGCCTTTGACCTGTGATATACGGTATCAAGGATATAGGATGAGGAAAATAGAGGGAAAAACCCAAGCGACACCTGTATGGATGAAAATATTGCATTTCTGTCCTAAACACCCTTCTAAATCTCTCCTAAGTAAGACGACAATTTGCGATTTAAACCCGTACTAAGGCAAACGACAAGCATTCACGTCTCTTTCATATGAGAGTCCAGAAGAAAGATGATGTTAATTACAGCTGTAATTAATGTCATGATGAATTTCAATTAAATTATATTACTCGCTGGAGTCAATAAAACGTCGACTCGGTGTTGGGGCCTTCTCGAAAATCCGGGTAACTTTCGGGCCCGAAGCCAATATCCAAAGACTAAGAGAACTATTCTTTAATCTTAGGTCTAACAAATTATTCCATTTTGTTTTGTTACACGCCGGTAAGATAATAGCCCATTTTACAGTTACAGGTGGAAACGAGGCTGGAGTTGATCTTGTTTTAATTCAACTCCTTCTTCTTTATTATGTTGCTCTCATGCTAACTAGTGTTTTTTAGCCAAATTTGCATTAGAAAAAGCAGGAGGTTTGTATCAAAACAAGGTTAACCTCAACCTCACGTTCACTCATGGCAAGGGCCAGGACAATAAGCCCACAACTGCAAAATGGCCTATTGAAACCACGAGTCTCCAGATTTTTTTTTCGAAACAATACCCTCATACATATTATATTCGGAAGAGAAACCAAAAAGGAAAAAAAATACCGGTGAATACCGAAATGGTTGAGAAATGAAGCTTTTAATCGATGAGAAATCAACTGAATCGAGACTAGACACTATTCTTAGAAGTTCAGTGGAAGTTGCCATCACGTTCCATTCACTCCTATTCCTGACGACAGCTGTGTACTAGTCCGGGCTTGTTTGCTATCAGTCACTGGCCTGGGAAAAATGGAGGATTTAAAACCGATTTGTGAAGTTGAACAAAGTTCTTTCTGTGTGGAATTACTCAAGCGACTCAACTTGCAACGAGGTCAGAATTATTTGTGCGACATAACCTTGGTGGCGAACGGAGGGAAAGAATTCAAGGCCCACAGAAATCTGCTCTCGGCGGCGAGTCCGTTCTTCGAGAAACTTCTTCAGAGCGAGATGAAAGAAAAAGAAGAAGGTGTTATTAGGTTCGAGGACATCTCAGAGTTGATTCTCGCGGATATTTTGGAGTTCATCTACACAGGAAGTGTCGAGATAAATGAAAAGAACGCCACTGATCTGATTATTGCTGCGGAATATTTACTCATTGAAGGTTTAAAAACCAAATCAGGG